AACATCATCATCTAAATCGCTCATATTATATGAAAGTTTTATATTATTTTTACAAGTTTTAAAACTTTGCGTTTTTCCTATATCTGTTCTGTCTATTTAAGCATCTCCCACATACAATATTATAATCTTTATGTTTCTGCAAACTTCTGAAGCTTTCTAACTCTTTAGGTATTTTACAAACTGCACAAAATCTTATTTCAAGGTTTTCATATTTACATCTATCTTTGTCAGATAAAGAAACTTCAATTTTAGCAGTATATATAGTCATATTAATTCGCTTTATAATAAAATTATAAAGCCAATTACTTAAGATTTAACAAACTGATTAAGCACCAGCTTATGTAGTGCTAATGAATGTTCAAACACTACTTCCCTTTCGTGCGACCATCCAATGTTTTGCTTTTCAAAGTGAAACACTGGGGGTTTTCTTCTCCTTCGTCGCGAAGCTTCGCGAGGACTTCTCCGAAGCGTCCAAAATGGCACACTTGCCCCTGATGGATGTAAAAATGCTTTTAAATCCAACAGGCTATGGCAGATACCCTGTCAATATATATATATATATATCTTTTATTCTTAACACATTTATATAACGATATATTTTTTCTATGTATTAATAATAATGATTACCCCCACAGTAAAACCTATCAATGTAAAAGAATATGATTTTAAACAATCTAAATATGATGTAGCACCACGATTACCTTTTAGTCAAATCATAGTTGGACCTTCAGGAAAAACAGAAACTCTCAGTCCTATTAATAATGATAACAACACCCCCTCTCTCCCCCCCATCCCAACAAAACAAAACAAACAAAACAACAGAACTCCCAGTCTCCCCCTGGGCGCTTCTTGGGCTCCGGCGCTGTGGCCTTGGACGAGGAGATCGAAGGGCGCCGTGCGGCCGTGGGCCTCGGGATCTCGGGGCCTTCCAGAAAGGAGGTGCCTAAGGTGCTCGATAGCTCCATAGAAGTTTGGGGCTGAGGGGTTTATATAGGGCTCTATAGCTCTTTTTGCAGGGGTTTGGGGTTTGGGGTTTAGGGGTTTATAGGGTTCTATATCAGAAAAGGAGGTGCAAGGTGCTCTCTTGCTCCATAGGGGTTTGGGGTTTAGGGATTTATCAAAAGGAAGCGCAAGGTGCGCTATAGGGGTTTGAGGGGTATAGGGCTCAATCTTAGAGAAAGAAGGTGCAAGGTGCTCTGTAGTGGCTTGGGTCTAGGGGTTTATAGGGTTCTATAAAGCTTTTGGAACAAGTGAAAAAGGTGTTACACTGGGTTGTAATGGGTTTGATATAGGCGCCTTAAGAACTAGACTGTAACCAGACGCTAGACTAGGGTTTGTGGGGTATGTTGCAGCTCGAAGGGGAAGACTTAAACGGAATACCTTGTGTTCGCCAAGACACTCAACAAAAACAAAGGTTTCGAACGTGGATATAGGGCTCGTAAAGTTAATGCCTGGTCACCCTGTATAGAAACCCTCATGGAGCCTTTACGAAGGAACCCTAAATATAGTAAGTCGGACTTACTATTCCCAAATACTCAACCCGTATAGTAACCCTTATAGCACTAGCCCGTATAGACTCCCTTGCAAAGAACCCTGATGTATAGCGTAAAACCCTGATGTATAGCGTAAAAAAGGAGCTTCCGCAACCCTAAACTCCACGCCCTAAACCCTAACTTTACAACACTACCGCCCCAAAACCAGTCCAGGAACCCCCCAAAACAGGTACCCTTTTAGTACTCGGGCACCCGGCGCTGCAGCCAACGAGTTTCCGCCGCTCGGCGGCGCGGCTGGGGAGCGCCTCAGCTGAGAGAGAAAAGGGACCCAAAGCTGGGATTCGGGGTAAAAAACCTAAGGGTCTATAGGCTTCTTAAATGATTTGAACAGGGTCTTAAGAGCCCCATATATGGGCCTTAGTTTTAGAATCGAGTTACTGGGTATTATACGATAGTTCCAACGGAACAGTATTCGTTACTGTTACTCTGGGCACCTTTAGACAGGGCTGGCGGGATTAACAGCTTGAAGGTGTTCATGCCGACGCCTCACGAGTTAGCCCACCCTGGATCCAACTCATCATGCTTTACGAGAGATTACTAATCAGGGTCTACATCTCGATTTTCTGGGGCCCTATAAGGCCTCAGCTTTAGGGTCGTGGATATTCACGTCCCTCCCAGAACACTTTGCGGTGCTTTGAGTGTTTGCGTCTTCGGGTCCATTTCCGAGTTCTTGGAGCGATTAGCACCGGGTTGGGGTCTATTAGGGCTTTGCATCCAAGGACTAGAATGGGCACTGTCCAGGCTGTCTAGGGCCCTAGGGTGTATAAGGAATACTCGTCGTTGACACATATATATATATATATATTCAAACAATTTCATCGTCGTCATCACGATAAGACGCCAAGTCTCGGCATCAGGGAATTGCTGTCGAGGTTTGGTTTGCTCTTGCAATCTTTGCAACGTGCAAGCATTAGGATCCTTTTCGGGTACCTGTTGGTCGATGGAATGTCTCCAAAAAGGATCGGCGAGCGATAAATTCCCTCGAAAGTTGGCCCAGAGACGCCCAGTCACATGGGAGCTAGGGTCAACCTCGAAGCTGTCTCGGGTTCGCTCAAGAAAAGCTATATAACTGCAAACGATGCTCTGCAGAACAGATCCCTGCACCTCAGGCGCCGACGCTTCAGTACAAGGGATCCGGAGTGGGTGGATCTGTGACAAAGTATACTTGGCAGCTAAATGCTTTAAACCTGCCTGCGTCACGCACCTCTCAGCTGTTAAGATGTCAGCTCCCACAGGATGCCAAGATGGTTCACCAGGGTTGGACTCTCTAACTTCAAGTTTGGAGCAAGACGTCGAGCTCTAGCTTCAGCCACAGACGCTGGCTTAAAGAGGCAGCGGATCCTGAAGAGAGTGTGCAACCGAATTCGCGGGCGCTCGTCCTCCATCGATGCGGAGGGTACCGTAGTTCGGGTCGCTCGGATGTCGAAGAGGAGTGACAGGCTTCGCACTCCGATTGACAACGACAGCGACGACCAGAACGATGCTGATGATTATAACTTGTAATGACGGTTACAATCATGCTGTGGGCTATGACCACGGCGCCCCTGCATCCTAAATTCTGAACTCCGAACCTAAGCCACCAACAACTGAGGTGAACCCTGGGACCATACGTAAGCCTGTTGCACTCATGAAAAGTCTAATCGTAGTTCCTTGGCCATTCTGCCGAAACCCAAACCCCAAAACGACAAACCGTCAAGCCTCCAAGCCCCAGAAAGAACTTTGAAGCACCTGAAAGTCCTGCAAAACCAAGCTGCCCCCATTCCTCCTCCGCTGCCCTCGCCGAGAGGACCTTCTAAGCTCAACCCTCAACCCTGCAGCCTCAACCTGACGTACTGCCTAAGCCCTCAACCCTAAACCCCTAAACGGGTCCTAAATCCTAAACCCTGAACCCTATAACCCCAAAACCTCTGAACGGCCCTGAATCCTAAACCCCTAAACCCTTAAACGGCCCTAAATCCTAAACCCTCAAGCCTACATCCCAACCCAACTCCACGGGCGAACTGGGCCTCAAACGTCAAAGCCAGACCAGAAGTTCTGCATGGCCTGGCTTTTAAGGCGATCACAGGCTTGGCTTTTTTCGAAAGTCCCTCATACCCCTTAGGGGGTAAGGTTTAGGGTTTAGGGGTTTAGGGGTGTAGGGTCACAGAGTTTCTGGGTACAGGGGTTTAGGGTTTAAGGGTTTAGGGTTTGGGGGTTTAGGGTTTCAGGGTTCAGGGTTTGGGTTTCAAGGGTTTGCGGGTCAAGGTTTAGGGGTTTCAATGACAATAAAAATCCCGAAACGAGCTAAACACAACCTCCAGTCCAGACCGAAACCTTAACCCGAAGACCGGCAATTTTTAAACACGTCTCAACCCTCAAGGCACAAAGCTCAAAAACCGCCCTCTAACGACAACGAAAAACCACATACTCAACATCCAACCCTATACCCTAAACCAACTACCAACTATAACCCTATACCCCAAACCAACTACCAATTATAAAAGACAGGCGGAAAGCCTCGGCGGCAGCCACCGGCAGCGCGGCAGCACCGCCCGCCGCGGCGCGCAGCCGAGCCGAGAGCAAGGGGGCCTTAAGAGAGGCCTCCAGACATCGTTTTGGTTTAGGATTTGTAGGGTATAGGGGTTGAGGGTAATAGTGGTTCAGCGTTTAGGGTTTAGGTTTCAGGGTTTAGTTGTCTCTTTCTGCTTGTTAATGTGGTTTGTGTCGGTGCGTTCAATGGTGGTGCTGTTCTTTTCGAAATGGGGCTGGTGGTTGTTAGTCGAATTCGTTCCAGGTCTGATGTTTAGGGTCGGGTTCATAGATGATGGAGGGGCTCGGACATGCTGCCCAGCTTTTCATCGCGTAATCTATCGAGAAGCGACACCACGTAACGGCCTTTGATAAACATCTGACACCAAAATACCAGAAGTCGTGATAACAACCTGTGCCGACACTCACAGAGATTACTCCCGACCATCAACAGTAGCAAACAAGAGATCGCAGCATGCAAACAACAAGCAGGAACACTCACTCAAATCACAACTGGAGGAATTGACACACTTACAGTGACCGTCCCATAAACTACAACACTAGAAGCAACCTTCGCAACAACAGTTTCGGGGGGATCGGCCCCGATCCCGGTTCTCGAGTAGATCGGTTGCCTGCTGCCCCGGAAATTCCCATGCATATCATTCCTAAACCCTACATGGCATATTCATCACTTGCTCAAGGGATGTAAGCCGCCAGTCTCCCGCAGCCTTGCCTGCAAGGAGTCCGATCGGGTGTCGCAGTGAGAAGGTCCACAGCGAACAGCCAACAAGAAATACAGGGGTTTAGGGTTCGTTATCATTCAAATGCAAACTGAGCATTGACAGCATGGCATTCCTATTTCTAAAAATCACTGGGTTCCCGCCAAACATGGCTGCCTGGGAGCGTCGGGTCGTCGTCGGCGGTGGGCCGGGAGGCGGAGTGGCAGAACGGAGGGTGTTTCCCGGCGCATCGGGCTCCTCTTGGGGCTTTTCGGGTTTTGGGGTTTAGGGTTTAGGCTTTCAAGGTTCTGTTATTGAGGGGTGTTGCTTAGGGCCCGCGCTTCACCCTAAACAAGCCTGTAACCACAGCCCCAAAAGCATAAGGGAACCTGTATCCTACTTCCCACAGGATATTGCTGACAAAAACCAACCGAATCACAGTGAGCCGACCCCACCCGGCCCCAATCCTAAACCGTAAAGGCTGAAACCCTAAAGCCTACACCGTCATTCGGAAGGGAATTCCAGAACATGCCTCATGTGGCCTGGGCTATAGGGTGCAAATTTGCCGTGGTCCTTCGCACGAGGGCTCTCCGCGTTGCCAGACCTTATTCACTTGGACGTTTAGGGAAAGTCAGAAAAACTATAGCTCCCAAACCCCAAGTGCGTATAAACCCTGCAAGTCAGTGCTCAACATATGAAGCTGCCCCCCAACCCTACACTACACCCTATGAAGTGTTGTCTCGATCAGAAGAACCTGGGGTTCAGGGAATGCGATACCACCGGCAGCCTGAAGCACAGAGGACCTTCAACCCTCAACTGACCCCATTCTAACAATTGTGGTTATTTCTTTTAGTGTTATTAGTATATTATTAACAGTTAAATAGTTGTTATTCCTATTCTTGTTAGACTCACTATGGTCATGCATATTACTGATATCATGATAGTCATTATATTGGTATTATCATGGTCTTCTCGTCCAGGTTTAGCTCTGCTGTTGCCTCACAGCTTTCACTTGGCAGAAAACCTGTTGACCAAATCCCGACCAAAGAGGTTTTTCCTAGGGCTCAATGTACCCATTGTTGGTAGAATCCCTGCAGCAATGGTCGATCGGCGCCAAGATCGAAACCCAAACCCACCCTAAACCCTAAACTACCATAAACTCTAAACCCAAACCCCTGAACCCTCACCCTAAACCCTAAACCTCAACCGCTGTTGCCCTCTCTGCTGGGACCAGGACGCAAGCGGCACACGCGGTGGGAAGCCTTGCGACGAGGTTGCGTCCTCTGCAGCTTCATGGGGGGTGAAGCTTGGAGCCTCGTCTTTGCTTATATTATATTCTATTCTATTCTATTCTTTTCTTTTCTATTCTATTATATTATATTATATTATATTGTAATATATT